TGGTTACAAACTCTGCTAACCCGGAAGTAGTACCAGGTTGAGAACTTTGCCCCAGGATGAGAACGGAAATCATGTGCCGGCGGCATGCTGGCAGCGGGAGGCCTCATGAGCTAAAGCGTGCCTCAGGTTAAGAACGGACCTCCGGAATGAATTAAGTTTGTAACACAAGGTACCACTGTACTTGCACTGGAGCGCTTTCGAACCGCTAGGTTGGCAGGAGCTGAGACCCAGCAACGGGAGCTCACCCTGTCGTGGGGATTTGAACCGCCGACATTCCGATCGGCAACCCCAAGAAGCTCAGTGAGTTAGACCACAGTGCCACCAATAATAATAATAATAATAATAATAATAATAATGGTCATTACATCGTTGTTGTGAAAATCAGACAAAAGTGGGTATAAATCTCCTAAATAAAAAAACCCACATATGAGAAGGGCAGACTCACGTGCACTAGCAGTAGCCAGAGCCAGAAGGAGAAAGGGGAAGACAACCAGAGACAGCTTCATGGCAGGTGGAGATGGAGAGATGGTCTGGGGTCTGTCCTTCCTTGGATGCCTTGACGCTCAGTACCCTGAAGCTCCCCTGGTCTCTTCTTATAGGTGATTCTAGCCACAAAAGAATTGCGATTACAACATCTGGAGAGGACATCACAGGACAGATAGCTTCAGAAAAGTTCCCCCACCCCTGAAAGTGATAGAGATAGCAAGAGGCTGATGTCCAAGATAGAGAGGCAGGATGCGAACATGTCTGAGGCCCATCATCTGTGGCATCTTTCGATTGATAAGATGGAAAGAGGACTCATTGCCCTTTCAGACTCCTTCCTCCTGGTCTCTTGTCTATAGGAGATGTTTCTAGACAGTTTCCGCTCCACCCAAAAGCAAGGGAGATAGTGAGTGGTTGACGCCCAAGATACCAAGGCAGGATGTGGACGTATCACGAGACCCATCATCCATGGCATCTTTTGATTGATAAGGGGTGGGGGGGGGGCGATAAGAGGCCTTTATTGGGCCAAGCCCATTTCTAGGTAAGCAGCTCAGATGCTTCCAAAGCATCAGGGGAGGGCTGAGGCCCTGTGAGGGCAAACACAGGACAGTTGGAACAAGGTCCAGAGAAGGATCAGGCCATGTTAGGGACATGGATGTGTGGCAACCTGGCTACACACAAGGCAGACTGACATGACCCCAGGGGCTGGGGTTTTTTTGGGGAGCTTTCTAATAGTACTCCATGTCCAATGTGGAGATACCCAACCGTCACTGCTTTCAGAGGGACTCCAGGCAGGCTCCTGTCGTCTAGAGCCACCAAAGGCCCACCTGGACCTCCATTTTTGCTACTTTGTTTTCCACGCCTGGCTTTGCACTCTCCCTGCTGAAGTGGAACTGATCCTATGAGGTCCCCACCAGCTGAGGAAATACCTGAGTGTATGCCATGACCCCCATCACTTTTCTCTGAAGGATTAGAGTAGCACCCAATTGTGAACTGGCTCTGATGGTAAGCACCTGTATACCTTCCAACATTTCTGTGATGAAAATAGGGGTGTACTAAATAATAATAATAATAATAATAATAATAATAATAATAATAATATTTATACCCTATCCATCTGGCTGGGTTGCCCCAGCCACTCTAGGCTGCTTCCAACATATATAAAACAAAATAAAACATTGAACATTAAAAACTTCCAAATACAGGGCTGTCTTCAGAAGTCTTCTAAAGGTTGTGTAGTTACTTATCTCCTGGGCTCTGGGGTCACATAACTCCATACTCTCCAACATTTCACCAATGAAAATAGGGATGTCCTAAGGAAAAGAAGGACATTCTGGGAATAAATAAGAAGCTGGGATGGCTTCTGTACACCCAATACTGCCCTGGGAAATTGGGACACTTGGAGGGTCTGCACCTGGAATCCCTAGAGATTGGAGGTGTCAGAAGTGGGATTTGGGTTTCCTGGAGGAGGACCTGTAAGCGAGGTGCAGCTGGACCAAGATGGTGGGAGAAGCAGCAGCACTCCTCCCTGAGCAGTTTAAGTTGATGCTCCAGCAGCAAATCCAGCAACAGGTGGACCGGCAGAACTGGCAGCTGGAGAAAGTGGAGTGGCAGTGAGGCCAGCTGCCTGACAAACTGGAGCAACTGGAGAACCAGAAGTTTGATAAAATGAAGCAGCTTCAAGCAGAGTGGACAAGAAGCCTCCTTGGGGAGAATAGTGAACTGGCCCTGTGGTGGTGATCCCATTCCATGCTGCAGGACCTGAAGAGGAACTCTATACATGTCCAAGGGAGTGGTGGAACTTTCTTAGTGGTTCACAGTTCAGGACTCAGCCGGTCTGCCTGGGGTCAAGGGGCTTTGCTCAGTATTTTCTGGTTCGCTAACAGCACCAGGTCCTGGGCAAGCCAGACTTGGCCCAGATGAGGCCCTTGTTTGGGCTGTTGCAACATGGTAAATGTGAGGCTACTTTTGAAGGGGCTGCAGAAACATCAGCTGGTCCAGGATGCAGCTGGGAGGGTTTGGGTAGGTGTTTCTCCTTTGGAATATGCAAAAACCTGCTCTTTTGCTCTAAATCGGGGCAAATGTCCATCTGGAGAAAACCCAAATTGCCATTTGTGTGGGGTATCCAGAAAGAGCAGCTAAGTCCAACATTTCCTGTTTACTAGAATGGGCACTCAGCAGAATGTGGATCCAATAGGGAAGACTTCCTGTCAATGCTGTGGGAGCCACTTCCCCCTGGGTGTGGCCAGGTAGAGATGGGTGCAATTTATATAAAAAGGCTGATCCTGTCCCCATCTCTCTCTTTCACTCCCTTCTATCTTGCTCGCTTGCCATTGTCATGCATCTTCTACCTCTGCATCTCTACAGAGACGTAGCAACTTGTTGAGTCTGAGGTCAAAAGACTCACTCCATCATCCATATATATTGTTTTAAGGGTGATAAAAGGGGGAAATACCAGGAAAATCCAGTCTGCACCAAGGCATCCTGAAATGCTTCATCAAAAAGACTGTAACCAGCTCAATCAACAGCTTCTTAATTTTGACGCAAAGGGGGTGTACTTTGCTACACTCACAAACACGTGTCAGGAAGGATAATATCTACTGTAGCTAATATATCCTATCCCAGTTTCTATACACATCCCTACAATTTGCATCAATTGAAGACTAAATAGCAGGTTTCTCCAGGGAAAAGCAGCAGGACAAGAAGATGTGTGGATAAGACCAGAGAGGACCAAATGCCTCCTCCTCGCTTCCCAGTCAGTGTTTTGTTTTGTTGGGCCTTTCCTCCCCCTTTCCCATCTAGCTGCTGGATAGGAGAACAATGTGAGCTGGGCTGGAAGCAGGCTGGAAGCTGGAGGCCACAGAGACAGGTCGCTTTGTGCTGCATCTGAAGCTGTGACTGATGGAGAAGCAAGATCTGTTTGGCTTGGAACAGTTTCAACCTCCCTGAACAATTCCACATCAACAGCAAATTTGGCCACCTCACTGCTCTCCTGTGAATCCAGATTGTTTATGAATAAGTTAAAAAGCACAATAACAATCTCCATGGGTTGAGGTTCATGCACAGAACCAAGCCTGGTTTGACACCATCGAAATATGTCTTTTGGAATCATGCAGGGGGTTTTTTGGCGCAGGGTCACCAAAGACATGGGTCTGTCTTGTGTCTGCAGCCTTCAGAATGCAGAGGGGACATAATGAAACCTCAGGAAATTGCAGGAGGTAAAGCATTTTGCAATCTTCTGATAAGGAGGACCAGATGCCCAAGATACCAAGGCAGGATATGGGCACATCTAAACATGCAGGCAATCTGTGGCATCTTCTCTGTCGATAAGAGACCATTTGTGCCAAGACTGCTGCAGCTCCATGCTTTGAAGAAAAGCACCCACTGTGGGAACAGCCTGCTAGGCTAGATGGACCATTGGCCTGATCCAGGAGGCTTTTCTTATGTCCTTCTTAGGAGCAGGCTTATCTAGAGTCACCAAGGTCCCAGGGAGATTTCTATTTTGCCCAACTCTGTGAAGGGGTCATGTTTGGACATGGCGGGGTGCCAGGGAGTGTGCCATTAGTATCTCAGAAATATTCTGGAGGATCACAACAGTACCCAATAACAGACTGAGCCCAAGGGAAAAACCTCTCCCTGAACAATGGAAATAACCCCTCAGGAATTCACACACCACTAGAGACCGTTTGCTCTTCCGGTTCAGTTTCTCTTTGCACTGGCTCAGCTTCATTTACACTGAACATGCCCACATTTCACTGGGTGCCAGGACTGGGCAACCACCCACCTGTTCTGAAAAGGTTGTAGGAGCTTGTGCTAGACAACCCTTTGGTGAAAGAGCTTCTTGCTATGAGGGCAATGGAGGCGGAAGGAGGAGCATCGGGAGATGCTGTCAAAGTGGCAGAGGAAGGATCCACTAGTTTTTTTGTTTCAACCACCTTGAACAATTTGGCATCAGCAGGAAACTTGGTCCCCTCACTGCTCACCCCTAAGGTTAAAAAGGACAGGTCCCAATACTGCTCCTTGGAGGACTCCACTTTCTGCCTCTTTGCATTCAGAAAGCTGTCCATTTATTCCTTCTCTCTGCTTCCTGTTATGTAACCAGTTGCTGATCCAAAAGATCACCCCTCCCCTTGGTGATAATAAAAGGATTCCCATCTGTGGATCCCTCCCCGCCCCCTTACGGACCAACAATGTTACCTTTGCTATTTATCTGCAATCTTTTTTTTCTTTTTTTTTGCACAGATGCACAACTAAGCATCATCAGCGTTCAAGGAAACATTTGCAGCCAGGCAAAAACACCCAATGAAAACTTGAAACTGGGCTAGTGGAAGGTGGGGGCAACCTGTGGGGAGTTCTGAGGGCCAAAGAGGGAGGTATCGAGGGCCGTATGTATTTGGTTCCCCATCCCAGCTGGCCTTGGGATTCTGAGAGCCCAAAGGGATATAGAGGAGGACCCTCTTTTACACCACAGATTGCAAACAGGTGGGTAGGAAGAAACACTCAGCTTACAACAGAACTTGTAGAAAAACAACATTTATTGGGGAAATTCTTATTCTGTGGCAATATTAAAACAGTCATATGTATAAAAATAGCAAAGAGGTTGATTGCTTTGTGTTCCCTCCAAAGTTACATAAATAAAATAATTAGCAGGGGTGGACCCTTAGGGTTTGAGGAAAATAAAATACCTTAAATAAATTTAAATTATCATAGAAAGTCCCTGAGGTTTTGACTTCAAGGTCAAAACAAAAGCCACTAGCTGAGTGGTGTTCTTGAGATGCCCTTGGCAGGAAATGGTGCCAGGCCTGGGATGCCCATCGACCCAGCCAAGGATGATGTCTTCTGTTGCTGCAGCACTGATGCTCAGTTCAGCTCGAAGTGGTCCATGTATTCTTGGACCCATTTCTCTGCGGGGTTGGCACAGATCTCCCGGCCCTTCTTTGTGGTGAACCTGGAGGGAATCAAAGGAGAGACACAATCAGCCTCCCATCTGGCTTTCTCTGCCTTCCTGTCAAGACCTCTTTTGCCCTTGAGATAGGATCATAAAATCATAGTCTGTCAGGGATTCTTTAGTTGTGATTCCTGCATTGCAGGGGAGACCCCTGGCGGCCCCTTCCAACTCTACAGTTCTATGATTTTTTGGGTGGGCTTGGATGGCTCAGCTAGACTCCTGACAGATGTGCAAAAAGAGACCGGGGTTGTTATATTTGGGGCAGCTGGACACCCCAACCCTTTCCCATGCCTGGAGGCTGCAAACAGAGCAGAATTATTCTTATACTTACACAACACCTGGCTGAGAGCACCTGCTGTTTGTTTCGTAAAAGTCAGCAATGTAGTTCCGGGGGATCTTCTTTGCCGTGTAGGTGAAGCAGCAGGAAGTTGGAGGGTCGGACCCCACTGGAAGAGAAAGCAAAATGGGTTGAGTGCAACCAGCAAAACTCTGCTGCAAAGTCGTTGGCCAGGAATTCCGTTTCCTGCCCTCTAGCCTCTTGAGTCCAGCATGTACATAGGAAGGTGCAAGCATCGGGTGGAACTAGGGAATGTGCACCCTTAGGAGGCAGTGATGGCTACTGAGTATGGTGGCTTTAAAAGAGGACTGCACCAATTCATGGAGGAGGAGAGGGCTTTTGTGCTCAGGTCCTGCCTGCTGGTTTCTCAGAAGATGCATCTGATTGGCCGCTGTAAAAAAAGGATGCTGGACTAGATGGTCTACTGTCCTGATCCAGCAGGCTCTTCTTATGTTCCGTGTCCATTTAGCTCAAGACTGCTTACACTAGCTGGCAGCAGCTTTCCAGGGTTTCAGACGGAGTGTCTTCTCCCCAGCTCCCTACCTGGAAATGCCCTTGGGGATAGAACCTGGGAACTTCTGCGTGCAAAGCAGAAGCACCTTAAAGGTAAAGGGACCCCTGACCAGTCGTGGCCAACTCTGGGGTTGCGGCGCTCATCTCGCTTTATTGGCCGAGGGAGCTGGCGTACAGCTTCCGGGTCATGTGGCCAACATGACTAAGCCGCTTCTGGTGAACCAGAGCAGCGCACGGAAACGCTGTTTACCTTCCCGCTGGAGCGGTACCTATTTATCTACCGTACTTGCACTTTGACGTGCTTTCGAACTGCTAGGTTGGCAGGAGCAGGGACTGAGCAACGGGAGCTCACCCTGTCGTGGGGATTCAAACCACTGACCTTCTGATCGGCAAGTCCTAGGCTCTGTGGTTTAACCCACAGCCCCACTCGCATCCCTATAGAAGCACCTTAAGGGGAGGTTATCCAGTGGTGATGAAGGGGAGGAGCTCTGCACATGGCCCCAAAGCCCACAGGCTATTCTAACCTATCCCTCCCCCTGTTGCGGGGTCACGGGGTTAAGCCCCCGTCCGCCCTGCTGTGCACATGGTGGCTGAGCTCCAACAGCCCATGTGGAATTGGATAAAACTCCTTGTAAAAACAAGAGGGCTGAGTTCAAAGGGCGCAGAGAGGACATCTCCACTGTCACACCGCCCTCCCTGCGGGGATGGAATTCCAAGCGACTGAAGCCTGCCTTTGGAAGGAGCTCATGTGGTGCAGGATTGGGAAGCGGAGAGGGCAAGAATCCTGGACTGAGGCTGCAATCCTGTGCATGCTGCCCCCTGCCCGAAACCCCGGAAAGCTGCTGCCAGTCAGTGTAGACAACACTGAGCTTGATGGACCAGTGGTCTGATAGGGCAGCTTCCTATTTGGAAAGGGCTGTAGCTGAAGTGTAGAGCGGCTGCTTGGCTCCCAGTTCAACCCCCCTTGGTATCTCCAGGTAGGACTTTCTCTCCCAGAAACCCTAAAGCAGGCACCCCCAAACTCGGCCCTCCAGTTGTTTTGGGACTACAACTCCCATCATCCCTAGCTAACAGGACCAGTGATCAGGGATGGTGGGAATTGTAGTTCCCAAAAGGCTGGCGGGTGAGTTTGGGGATGCCTGCCCTAGAGAGCCACCGTCAGCCAGAGAGGACAGCTTCCCAAGCAGCGGCCACGATGGTGAGCGTGCATTTCTCCCGGCCCCCCAAAACCCCAACCCGGGGGAAGGACCCCCACTTTGCCCTCAAATGCCCCTCCGCTCCCCATGCTGAGCCTTGAGACTGACCTGGAGCAGCGCTGGCCGAGAGGCAGAGGGCCAGTACCAGGAGGGCGGCCACAGCCCAGGCACGTGGAGATTGAGAAGCATTCATTTTGCTGAGAGGCTGGAGTGGCTGATCTTGGTTGAGGTTCTCCTGGAAGGTCTTGCCGTCTCTGGTGCTCCCTCCATGAAGCCTGCCTCCTTTTATGGATCAGGGGGCAGGGCGGGGGGGAGCATCGCCGGCGGAATTTCCCGTCGGCGGTGATGTCACCCCGAAGGGGTGCGGGAACCTCCATCGCGGAGGCCAAAAAAGCAGGGGAAGTTTCTGAAGAAGATGTATTACATCTGCGCCGCACTGCTCAAGTGACTTAAAAATTGCTTCACCCACATGGGGTCACGAGAGGAAGGAAGAAGAGCTGGTGAAACCGGGGTGGGGGGGGGTAGGGCGGCGGGTAGAAAGAAGGGAAGATGGACACCCCACTCCACTCTCCCTTTGCTGAAAAATGTGCCGCGTCAGCTCTTTCAGGCACCAGATGCAAAGGGAAAACTTGTGCAATCCGGGGGGAGAAGCGGCCCCACCCTAAGCAAGCGCCCCCAAACAGAGCTTTTGCATTCGTTTTGCATCCAGAGAAAGGAGAAACCAGTTGCAAATCCCTGGAGGGGATTTTTCTGGATGCAGCAGCTGGGAGGAAGAGAACCGTTTTTTCGTGAGCTCACACGGATCTTTTAAAAAATATATATATTTATTTTATTACATATCACAATAGAAATGTTTGAGAGGACGGAAAGGAACAATGCCTTGCCTGTTTGGCAGAGAGCGGAGAAATGGTCACTGCAGAGAAAGAAAAACAGTGCTGCAAGTAATAAGGTCCTGGATCATAGAAACAGAGAATTGTAGAGTTAGAGGGGGCTCCCAAGGGTCATCTAGTCCAGCTCCCCACAATGCACGAATGGAAGCATAACAGAGCAGTCAGTACTAAGTCCTGGAAGATAATCAAATCCAGGTAAAATCATAACTTGTAGGAACCTGCCAGCCATGAGTTTGTCTTTTGACATAAGTCATGAACGACCACCATGCAGCTGCGCGGTGTGTAGGCTTGGCTTTACTCTGGAAATATCGTTCTTTTAATTTTATCCGTTATTACATTTCCTCTAAAGAGACCACAGTGGCATGCATGGTTCCCTCCTCGCTACCTCCCTGTTTTATCCTCACAACGACCCTGTGAAGTAGGCTGGACTGAGAGGCGGTGCCATTTTAGAAGTGTGTGAAGCTGGGCGTACGCAACATACATTTAAAGCACACACTCAAATCAATTCGCAACACCCATAACAAACTACAGTTCCCAAGATTCATGGAGAGTGGTGTGCTCTAAATGTCTGTTGCATGTCAGAGAAGAGAAAAGAAGGAAGAAGAAAAGAAGAAGAAAGAAAGAAAGAAAGAAAAAATATTGGGGAGGCAGTTAAGTCCCACCCAGCATAATCAATCACAAGACAGAGCATGCACACACCATTTGAATGGCAAGGCTCATCAACTTTGTGGGGCGGCCCAGCCCCCTCAAATATTTTGGTGGGATGGCCAAAGGGACCTCGGCCCCTAGGAGTTGGCTCCTATGATACATAGCATGCAGAAAGTGGATAGGGAGAAATGATGGCTATCCAATTAAGTTGAATGTTGGAAGGTTTGGGACAGATGCTCCTTCACACAGTGTATCGTTAAACTGTGGAACTCACCCCCACAGGAGGCAGTGAGGGCCATCAATTTGGATGGCTTCAAAAGAGGATTAGACAAATCCATGGGGGATAGTACAACTACTAGCCACTGACAGAGGCAGTAAATGCCTCTGAACAGCAGTAGCCAGGATTGTAAGTGGGGAGAGTTGCTATGGCTCTCAGGTTCTGATGGAAGTTTATAAAATGATGCCTGGCGTGGAGCAAGTGGACAGAGAAAAGCTTTTGTCCCTCTCTCTTAACACCAGAACTCGTGGCCATCCAAGGAAGCTGCATATTGGAAGATTCAGGTCAGAGAAAAGGAAGGACTTTTGTCTAGTTAAACTGTGGAACTCTCTCCCACTGGAGGCAGCGATGACCACCAACTTGGATGGCTTTAAAAGAGGATTTAGTAGACAAATTCATGGAGGAGAGGGACACTGATGGCGATTAGTCATTATAGCTACGCTCTGCATCCAGAGTTTGAGGCAGTGATGCTTCTGAATACCAGTTGCTGGAAACCACAGGATCCTGCTTGTGGGTCTCCCATGATAGGGATCTGCTTGGTCACTGTCAGAACAGGATGCTGGACTAGCCTGCTTTGGCCAGATCCAAGTCTATTCAGGTTTCTTATGAATGGCCCAAGGTCAACCAGTGTACGTTCTCCTCTACACTTGACTCTGCTAACGTTTTGCAAGGGCATACCAGGAACTGTAGGTTTGCTCAGTTAAAGTGGGTTAAAAGGCTCTGTTGCCTTGGCACCCGAAAAGCACACAAAAGATGAGAGGAGCCAGACTTTCTGTGGTTGAGAAAGTGGTGGGGAAATGCAATGAGAAGCATATGATGAAGGCATGACTAAGGGCAAGATGCATAAACACCCCACCTGCAAATCACGATGAAGGATTGCGGTCATGTAACCTCCCCACAAAACAAATCAGAACAAATGCTCAGTATGAATAGAAGAACATAAGCAGAGCCAATATTGGCCCATCCAGCCCAACTTCCTGTCCTCGCAGTGGCCACCCAGATGCATCTTCTGGAAAGCAGAGCCCAAGCACAAGAGCAGCCTCCTCTTCTGTGGTTCCAGCAACTGGTATTCAGAAGCATTGCTGTCTCTAACATGGAGGCAAAGCTGAGCCATTATGGCTAGTAGCCATCAGCAGCCCTCTTTGTCTAATTCATCTAGGTTGAAGGCCGTCACTGCCTTCTGTGGGAGGGAGTTTCATAGTTCAGCTATGCACTGTGTGAATACGATTTTATTTTACCTGTCCTGAGAGGCCATAGGATGTGTTCACATTAGGCATCAGAGCACAGTGAGGTCTTGTTTCTTAGTGCGTTTCAACCCTCACCTCCAGCTGTTCACATCAGGACAGCTCAATTAATCTCAGATTCATTCCAGGGGGTGTTGGCTGGGCTGGGGTGTCTTTACCCCTTGCAGAAATGTTCACCCCTTGGTTAGATACAGATCAGGAATGGCTTAACCCTACACTTTGGAACTCTCTGCCACTTGACATCCGGCAGGCACCTTCAGTGTACTCTTTTTGGCGCCTGCTAAAAACATCTTTTGTTTTGGACAAGCCTGTCCAGAAGTTTAGAAAGTTGATGTGGGTTTTAATCTGTTTTTAGTTTGTTGTTATTTTAGCTCTTTGAAAGTCTTAAATTATTGTTGTTCATTCTCCTTACTGCTTCATCTTTTTCACGAACCATGCCTAGCTTCTTTTCCCACAGTCAAATGGTGCATGAATCTGATGAAATAAACAAATAAGGACCCCAGTTGGTGTGAAGCCGGTGTGAAAAACAAGGCATCAAACCAGTCATATATTATAAGAAATGTAAGGACATAAGAATGTAAGAAGAGCCTGCTGGATCAGGCCAATTGCCCATCTAGGGCATTATCCTGTTCTCACTGTGGCTGACCAGATGCCCCTTGTGAATACCAGCAAGCAGGTCCAGCCTTAAAGGTCCACTTTTAAAGTCATCTGGCTTTGTAGCCACCACTACCTGCTGTGAGAGGGAGCGGCAGAGTTTTAGCTCTGCTCTGAGTAAAGTGTTTTCATACCGTAAACTGCCGTGTGATCCTTGGATGAAATTTAATAAATAAACGAATAAGTTCATCCATTTTGCTGCATCAATTAAACTAAATTGCTTTATTTGGATATTGAACAAATGTGCAATAATTTGTTACTAGGTTTAATTTTATTATCTTAGCTCAGTCGGTAGAGCATGAGACACTTAATCTCAGGGTTTTGGATTCGAGACCCATGTTGGGCAAAAGATTCCTGTACTGCAGGGGGTTGGGCGATCAGGGTTTCCCAAACTTGGGTCTCCAGCTATTTTTGGACTACAACTCCCATCATTCCTACCTATGCAGCCCAGCAGTCAGCAATGATGGGGACTGTAGTCCCAAAACAGCTGGAAACCCAAGTTTGGGAAACCCTGGATTAGATTACCCTTGGGGTCCCTCCCAGCGCTACAATTCATCATCTCCCTTAGTGGGTTGTGCAAACCGCTCTTCTGAATGATGCTTTCTATAAGGGAGGGTGGGCAGCACTGAGGATGAGTTTATGGAATTAAGGAGGGGTGGCCCCTCAAATTTTGAGTATCACTGGGTTAGAGAAAGAGTGTTGCTGCTGTTGTTTAAACCCGAGGAAGACGACAGAATTTATTCTTTCCTTTTTCTCCCTCTTATTCTTTTTTTAGAAAGTAAAAGGGGAAAATACAACATATCTCGTGATTCCTGCTGGCAGGAAGCAAGCTTTGCACAGCTGCCCTGGAAATTCCTAGCTTTTAATGAAATGCAAGGGAATGGGAAATCGTCTGATTTCACCTACCCTCTATGTTTTATCGCACTGGGCCTTATTTTTTTGCCAATGAAGCATTTGAACTGCATTCTCATCAGTCCCAAGATGGTGTCCCATCCTTCTAAAAATAAGATTATGAGAAAAGGGAAGAAAGAACCGGAATTGAGCAGCGGAAGAAACTCAACTCAGATATGATGGAAGTTCTATTTTCCCATTCAACGCTTTAGAAAAAACCATCGGAATAGAGGATTCTGATGCAAAAATGCAATGAAAGTGCCTCCTTAGCGGTTTCCTGCCTGTCTTATTGTCAGGGACCGTGTTGAGGAGGCCTGCACTGAGGAGGAATGGACGGAGCCTCCCCGTCCCCCTGCTCCTGATCAGGATCCTGAATCTTCCCAGGAGCAGGAGGACAGTATGGATTTGGAACAGTGGTTTGCAGAGGGACATAGTTCAAAAGGCAGAAGCTGGGAAGTAGTACTGTGTGGGGAACAGCTAGGAGGAGAAGAACTGGGTGTGAGAGAGTAAACAGACTCGTTGTCGCTGGAAAGCATCCATCCGCTCAACCCAAGGTCAAGGAGAGCAGATAAGGTGGCAGCACAGAAAGCACAGTGGTTGTGAGATCAGGTTGCAAGACGCAGAAGTGAAGTGGGTGACTAGGGTGAAACCCTTAATTGGGAGCACCTTCATTCCTAGGAATGGATTCTTTGTTCTCTCACTGTGATCATTAAAATTTCGGACTGGCGAGAGACTCCTTTCGCTTTGTTCTGCTTATCTCCTGCCAAAGGGGGGGGAGGCAGCTGAGTCCCTGAACCCTGACACTTATGCTACCATTTGCTGGAGTTTAAGGCTGGGGAAATCTGTGCATAAAATAAAAGACCAGCCATAAACCTGGAGAAAAAAGGTCAGCTGGACTAGCTGAGCCTTTGTGATC